TGCAAAAAACCTCCCCAAAAAACCAAAACCACAGAAACTCAGGACTAGATTGTTCCAGCATAGTCTGAGGAGCCTCAATTGATTGGTGGATCCTTAGTGGCTCTGGTGTGTTCATTTATTTCCCGGAAAAACATTATTTCAAATTTCAAAAAGCCTCTCTACAAAGTATGTGGTGTTCCTAAGGCAACAAGATAGGCAATCTCAATTTAATGAAGGAATTTTTGTTCAATGGCTCAGTATATTTATGTCAGATGTAAAGAAACAAATTCTCTATTTGACTTCTGTGTCAAATCAGAGAAGAAAACACTAACTGCTTACATTTACTTTATTTGTGCTCTGTAGAGCAGATTTACAACAGATACCAACAGTGAACTTAACATCCTGTGCCTAAAACTGAATTCTAGGTTCTGTGCTGGTGGTAAACCTCTGAAAGTCAGAGTTGCAGTTCCTGGTTTTTCAGTACTGGCTTCTATTCAATCTAGCCTAGGTAGGAGAACCAATCTCTTACCTGTCTTTAGTTCTACTGAACAAGATTCGGTTATTAACAATTTTGTAATGTATACTATATAAAAAAATTTAACCTAGAGCACTCAAAATCCTTCATGCAGTCTCTGAATGGTCTTCTGAAGTCAACTACCTGCTGCAGGAAACAGTAGTGACTCTTACTCTCTGAATACTGCTACTTAATTCCTTGTACTGCTTACTCTGTATAATTAGGTAAGACAATACAGGTCTCTGTTGTTTTATTAACAATGCTAACTATACAACTAAATCTCATCAGTAAATATGCACGCCAATATATATTCCAAAACTATTTTATGGAAATAATTGTATTTTGTGGGAGAGAAAAGCAATGTAATATTTTGCAGATCTTTCACAATAAAAGGCACCATGTTCTAACCACTCAATGAGGCTAAATAAAACATATGACAAGCGACAGACCTGCGTGTCTTCCTCTTTGAAAAACTTAATTTGTTTAGAAAGCAGGAATAGCACTGCAGTAAGCATTTTGTTGCCACTATCCTTCCAACAAGGAGATCAATAGGTTTCCTTCATTACACTTTTAGCCAAACACAAAGCGCATGCAAAAGCCAGAGGACAGGGAGAGAGGGAGACAGAGGGGGGAAGAAACTGATGTTGGTACTAGAAAGTCTGAGATACAAATGAGAATAAAAAATGGGGCCATTGTATAACACTACCTAAGTGTAATTTTATACATTAGGAGACTATGGACCTTCGTTGGACAATCTGTTCAATTTACATTGTGTGTGATATTTGTAAGATACAAGCTGATGTCAGAGTACTTCTAAAAATGTAAGTGAAGCCAATTTGATGTAATAATTTTTTAAGTGAACTACTGCTATTTAAAAATAAATTACTATGTTTTGTGACAATTGGATAATAAGTAAATTACAGATATATTATACATATACTATACTTCACAACTGCTAAGTCATTATTAGTCCTAATTAATAATTTTACTCTTAGACAAACCATTTAAGTAGCCCTGCTAACATTCACAAAAATTACAGGCATGAAGCTAACTGGTTTTTGTCAAGGGTGAAAAGCTTTATCGCACACTGTAAAATTTAAAGATAATATGAATGTATATTTTATCACTATAGTATTTTAGAGCATTAAAGCTTTACTTCTCTTGATACAAGGAAATCACTATTTAAAGAAACTCACTTCAATTTCACTGAATTGAAACAAAGACAATACCTCATTTTAGACAAGTGGAATTGTTAAGGTGCTGACTGGGGCTAAATAGGTATATAATACTACTATCCTATAATGCCTGGAGCTCAACAAACTAGAGCTTTTACTTTCTAAAAGTAAGCATAAGTTTCTAAAATCCTTCTGCCCTTTCCTCTCAAATAGGCATCAGCTGACCACATCTACATTTTCATCCACGCAACTGGTGACAATAAAAAGGAACAGGTGAAAAGCTTTTTCTAGTTTTGGACTCAGATGCAAAATAGCTTCTACAAGAACATTTTCTATGAAAAAACATAGGCAGCAAATTCTGCCTTAAATTCTTCACAATGTAGAATCTGCAGGTACTGTTTCTCTTCTGCTGAAAGATCTTCTATTTCTTTAATCAAAGACATTCTACGTGACAGCAAATCCTCGACAGTACACACACTTCCCTTTTTGGCAATCTGAGCTCTACCGGTACCAATTAATCCAATTCCAGAACTTTTCTCAAGAATGAAAATTGTGAGAAAATTTTTTGCGATGATTCTAATACACCTATTTCCTATAAACAGAATTCAGAAATCATTCATATGAAGTTCTCCCTCTTATCTTTTGTTGTACCTTAATCAGAAGGCACATTCAGCTGAATTCCCAAAGCACTGATTCCATTTCTCTTGTCACTGTGTTCCTGATATCATCTGAAGGTCCAAAGCTATTTGGTGATGTCTTGGTCAAAGAAAAGCAAGAATCTCCAAACTTGGTGCTCTAAGAATGAGTTTAAGAAAAATATTTTCTTGGAATAAGAACCACAGAAATAGGTGTGGACATAAGAAACAACCTTAAGATCCTATCAAAAGTGTGGTCCTTTTTTCCCTCCTGGATATGAGACATTATACATTACAATATTATTCATTTTCTCCCCCTGATAAAAACTGCTGGCAGGCTTTCAGACTTGATTTAACAATACTTCAGTTTGGGAGATTTCCTATCGTGTCATTTAGAGGTCAAGAAGTTGTTTACTCATAGTAACCTTTCCCATTTTCCAAAATAATAGCAGATGACATTGAGCATCGCTTGACATGCATCCTGACATTAAGCTGTATTTCCAAATGAAGAGTCTCTCACAAAGACAGAAATGAGACTTCAAATCCTTTAGAGACCCCAGAGAACTTCCAATCCTTTCTTGCCTCTTCAAATAGCTACAACCGCCACAGAGATCTTAAATTTCAATTGATTTGTTCCTTTGGATCTGTCACTAGCTCAAATGGTCTGTTCAAAAATACACAGGGTGCTATCCTGCCATCAGAGAATAATCTATTTTGCAGTTTAAAACAGGGCTGTTTAGGTCTTGCTCTGTGTGTTCCGTGACATGAAATTCTGATTTCTGACTAGCTAGAAACTGCATCACAAGATCTGCTTCACTAGGTATCTGTATTTCAGATAGGAAGATCTTGCCCTTGGACAGAACATAAAGGATGAATTGCTTTCATAGTCTTGCAGTGCCATCTTGATACTTCAGCTAGTAGAGTCTTTACTACAAATTGCGAATAAGTGATAGCTTTGGAGAAGGCAAAAAAGTTTTTGGAATCTGATCAAGCAGGAGACCTGTTGACTAGCCACCAGCTGCAATACCTTGGTTTGTATTTCTTTCCAAGACAGTGATCCCTCCATAAAGTGGAGGGAAGGACAAATGGCTCAAGTTGCAGGCAAAGCACAAAGAGTCCAGTTTCCCTGAAAGTGGCTTATTGATTCATAATCTCTAAGAGCACGTTCACCATTTTTGCTGATGTGAACTATGGAACGCTTGTTGATCCACTGCTTTCTCTTAATTTCATACAGATCATTCAGAAGAACGGAATGAGGATGGCTTCTGTCTTGCAACTGTAAGCACTAAACTTAATTTCTTGCTCCTATATTAGCACATGAATATAGCATAATTTATTTATTCTATATTGGTGTTTTGATGATAATGATAAAAACAATGAGGCTTTCATACAGTAATGAGTCACAACAAACTGCAGAATACGTAACCAGGTGCTTTTAAGAAGACATACTTGATTATTTTTAGAATTACTTGTCTCCTGGTGCAGACAGACAACAACTATTGATCCATTACAGAAAAACTGGTAAGCATCTTTCTTCTTAAGAACTGTTCTATTACATCTTTTGCCTAGTCATACACTGAAACTAGGAAAAAACTTTCTATTGCTAAGGATAAGGAAGTGCTAGAAATGACTGCTTGAGAAGCTGAAGATTTTGAGAATAAATTACACACACATCAGCCAGGTACTGGTTACATACAGATCTTTCTGTTTAGGGACAAAGTGATCGAGTAGGTGACCTCTTTATGTTTGCATTTTGTATAATTTTCATGAATAGAACATTCAGATCAGGTCTAGAACTTGGCCCACAGTGTGACAGAGCGAACTGTTAACTTTTTAATGAGATCTTGTGAACTTTAAGAGATTATTTTAAAATACAGAATAAATAGCTATATCTGCTCAAGACTGATTCAGTGTAGCGGGAAGCCTCAAGTCCATCTTTTTGATACTCATCTATTTATCAACTATAATAATATGCTGAACCCTAATCTTTACACAGGAGGTCATGGCTTTAATTTGACAGTATTTTATAAACTCTATTTCTATACCATGATATCATGAATTCTAGTTTATCTTAATATATTTCTTCTTTTTCCCCTATTCTAATTACAATTGAAAGTATTTTGATTTTTCAGGTCCTGTTAAGATGGTACTATACCTCATTACAGAAGATGATCATGAAGCTGATACAGAAGTATTTAAAATGGTTATGCATTTTGGCAGGCAGTGACCCAAGCCAGAGCTCTGTGAATTAACAATGATCTTCAGATATAATGAACACACCTATATCTAGACAAGTAATTAGTAATTATAACTTGATGGCCATCTTTATAGAGTCTTTCCAACTTCACTATTCAGAAAGGGGTCAGACTAACCAGTGCAGCATTTGGCATTTTGTTATTTTTATTTTAATGTAACAGATAACTAAGGATGCTTTTATCATACAATTTAAGCTCATGTGCTATGTAGCAGATGCCTAGCTAGACTATACATCCTAGTGGCCCCAGAGTGGTATGGTGATTTTAAAACCACGCTGAACATGGCTGCAGATTGATCATGCAAAATCTGCCCCCCAAGCTGATTTTTCCCCACTTGTGCACAGTGCAATGCAAAAAAACCCAAAGAATAAAAGTAAATGAAATCAAAAAAGTGTGATGGGTGAGCAGGTCGACTGTATGAGAGAATACGTGCAAAGTATACCTCAGAAACACTATAGGTGGATGAGCACGAAGGGAGTCGAGCCTGGTTGTGCAGTGGGGAAAAGAAAACATTGTTAAAAAAGAAATGGTGGCACAGTAAGGGTCTCAGGAGGTTTTCTGTATAGGTGGTTCCAGCACTGAGATAGTAACAGGGGGTTCATAAAGTTTCCATGGCCAGCTATTTCAAAGACTCCAAATTTATGCCTTTTAAGGTGGAAGCTTCTTAAAAGAAAAAAAAAGGGTTGCATTTGAAAAATAATTAAAACTAATGATGAAATCTGAAGACAGCTATCAATCCTTCCTCCTCTAAATAACTGACAACACTATCCTTAGGACAATAAGGTATTCTAGGATGAAACTTCACTAATCTCTTTCATTTAAAACTATTAGTTTTATTCTAACTCTGCAAAGGCTACAAAGTGAAAACCCATTAGAGGTCCTGTATATCTTTACATGTTGACATACTCAGAACCAGCATTTTAACGATGGAGGTTTGTCTTCAATCTCACTGCCCCAAAAAGCAGAATAACTTGCAAAGTTCAGTGACCGGTGGCCAAATATAGGTTAGTAGAAAACTGCAGATTATGCCTCTATGCAATGTAAAGTCTGTGATTCTTGAGAGACTCTGTCCACTGTCAGAAGGTTGCAGTACACACAGAAGTTAATTGGTAACACTAATTTTAGTGATTGCTTAAGACAAATTTTGTTTATACAGGATAGCCAATACTCTAAACTATTAATCACCCAGACATAAATCAAGTATTAAAAAAGGACACTCCAGTAATTTATAGGAAAATCCTCCCTTTGGGTGAAAGTATTTCATGTTTCACTGTCTGTGAAGAATGAGTAAAAGCAGCCTAATAAGTGAAAATTAAAAAGACATAGTTCTTATAAATGCACTAAAAATCTCCTCTTGATGTTTTTGTAGGAGGGGAAAATGAATTATGAGAAGATTAACTTCCTTAGAAAACTAGGCAAAACTTCCTTAGACTTAAAAAACCATACAGCAGTTTGGATACATTTGTGGTAAAGATGAATCCAGCAAGAATTTCCATCTAAGCTACTAGTGACCTAGGTATATAATGGACTGAGCAGAGAACATGGTATTCATAAGAAGTCTCTGAAGAATATTCTTCAGTCTCAAATGTGTATTCCATATTTTTTCACTGAAATATAAAATATCACTTCCACAGTCACATTGGTCTGTGTTAAATTATGCCTCAATTTCTATACAATTGATTTTTCCTCCTTGAAAAGGTTTTAATATTCTGAAAACATTTTTGTGCCTTTCTTGCATTGTGTATTTCATTTGCTCTTCCAGATAACACTACCAAGAAAATTTGAATCACTTCACACCATCTTAAATATTCACATCCTCAGCACTTTCTTCGAGTGATGAAATGTTTTCTTATGTTGAGATGATTTGCAGAAGGATTAAGACAAAACCAGAAAATTCCTTCAGATAATACGCAAGAGTAAAACCTACAGTTTTAAGAAATCAATTATTAATCTAAACAGTCTATTTTATAACTAAAGAAAAAAAAGAAAAAAGAGAGATCCTCTTCTGACAGAGCAGAAACTGTTCCTAGAAACACTGCTTTTTAAATCTTTCCAAGAAAGATAGGTGTGCTTTTGCTCAGAACAGGGGTGTGGCTATTCACCTAAGACTTTTGGAGGAGTTTCCAATTAAGATTCTCATAAATAATGTCCAGCCATTGTTCCCATGGTTTGTCTTTCAACAGCATGGAAGAAACCATTAGCTTGGGCTTTGCAGATGAGAATCCAAAGTATGTAGTAATAGCAAGAATCAGCATAGCATCAGTTTTTTTAAGACTGAGCAACTAGATTAACAAAAACAAGAACAGTGAGGAGATTTGGAACCATACTCCAAGAAGATCTCACCCTGTCTACTCTCACACAAATTCACAAGGGGTATGGTAGACACTTGTGTACTTTAATCTTCTCTTAGATAACTACTACAAGTAGAATACTATTACTTTCCTTGTCAAAGTATCCTGTAATCTAATTATCCATATTTTCATTAATAATGGAACCATTTAACTTCAGTTTTATTCCAATTAGAATTTAATAACTGCAAGTAATTTTATATTTTTTTCATAGTTTTAATTCTATAGAAGCAAATGATAATATTCCCTTCAGTAAGATACCAGTATATTTTATTTCTTCCTATGCTAAAAAACACACACACACAATTTTCCTTAATCTCCTAATCTTACTACAAAACTCATTTTTATTTATGTATAGCCTCTCAATGTACTTATTTAATTTTCTCATAAGGATGAAATCAAAAATGAATCTCAAAATGACCTAATGTTATTGAGGAAAGGATTATGCTCACAATGCACCTCTGCACATGGGGATTGCTGTTTATTTTATCTTCGATTGGAACACACAATGTGACTGTTTAATCTGCTGCACACTTATAATTTCCTGATAATTTCTACGTGTTGCTTTCTTGCTAACTAGTCTCCATCTTTAAGCATCTGTCTGATTCCAGGATTTTGTAAGCTTCTGTGCTATTAAAATTACATGTCAGTCCTTTTCCAAGCTCCTTGGATGTTTCTGCAATCTATCACCTATTCTACTTAAAATTTGTTGCCATATATGAACTTAAGTGATTCTTTCTTCCAGTTTGATAGAGGGTGGAAGCTCTCCTTATTTTGCATGCTACTGGACAAGCCCTACATATTATCTTAGGTGAAGTTAATGTGCTAACATTTGGGCTCTTTCCCTCCACATTAACATTCAATTTAAGGGCCAAATTATCAGTCAAAGAAATTCCCCACCGTGAAAATGATTTTAATAGAGCTATGCTTATTTACCTCAACTGAGAATTTGGCTCAAAGGTTGTAAGAGCAATTGGTTGTCAGTTGGAGGGCCTTATTGGTTTGACTCAGATCTTTAATAATGGAATATTAGGATCAAAAATAAATATCATGTAAATGTAATCCTTCATCACGGCCAAAGAAGGTAGGTACTTAAAATCAGAGAGAAAATGCATGCAGGAGACTGTAGACTCTGACAGACACAGGCCTATATGAGAAATTATTATCCTGGTTTCATTTAACATAATCTATTGACAGTATTTGGCCTCTGCTAGGAGTTCTGAGAACGTTTTTCCTGAACAAACCGAGAATCTCTGACTTGGAGCCATACTGCTTAAAAGCCACAAAAAATTGTCTGGCATATCACTTGGGAACTCCATGTAGAACTTCTATACTTAGATTTAAATTTTTTTCTGATGGGCTTTCCATAATATTTTTCTGTGTATATTAAACTTGCATTTAAACTTCTTAGCCTGCACAAGTACAAAAAAACCCCAACCCCAAAAAATCTCCAAAGCACAGATTGAAGCATTATTGTTCTGCTGAATTTCAGAATAATTCCATACTTTCATAAAAGTATTGGTTTTAGTAGGTATTATGAGTTCTAAAATATAAACCAGTCAACTCTTTCACTGTTGATCATCTCAGTAGCAAATACACTTGCTATTGCTACATTCATTTGAACAGTGGGGGAATGCTAACATATCCAAGTGATAGAACACTATTTTTTCGTAACAGTTCAGTGCCAAACTGGTCTCTGGGAGGGGCCAAAGGATTAAGGAATGAAAATAACTTCAAGATGAATGAATTTCTCAAGAAGAAATGCAAAACCAATCTTAGGTCAGGATTAACTTTTTGTAAATGGTTATGTGTTACTGCTGATATCAAAAGATTAAAAATGAAAACTACTTAACTTCCAAAATTGCTTAATTAACTCTAATTTTCATGCACGTTTTCAGTGCAATTTTATTTCAAATATCTGGCAGGCTTTCCAAGCTTTTGGTGGCATTTGGGATATTCTGCAGAATTCCAGTGTTTCCTACACATTTCCAATAGCCTTTGAATTTAATCCAGAAAGCATGTCTTTGCAATTCATTCTGGAATGAAGGTTCCACCTTAATGGTATTTTGCAATACACAATTGTGCAATAGCATTTCATTTTCACTTATAAAGCTGGCCATCAGATACTACATGCTCCCCCTCCCATACCATTCAATACTTTTGCCACGTTGTAGGAGTATCAGCAACTTAGATCTAAAACCCTTTCCAAAAGCAGTATGGATAAACTGAAAATTATTTTAACAATGAACTATTAACAGATTCCTCATAATTTTTTTCTCCAATTCTCCCCTATTGAGAACTGCCCAGTATTTCCTTTCTTTGATCAGTCATTTGTAAAATGCTGTCCTGTCTAAAACATCCATTATTGCCACATGAGTCAGAGCAGCAGCGACAAAGCAGTAAATTTTAGCAATGTGCCCTGCTTGTTTCAAGAATATAGGCATATGCAGAATATGTGGAACATTTCTTTGATTAATTACTTACATTCTTTACTGACTGACTGATTTAGATCGTGTGGGGTATGGTCACAAAATAACAGATAAATTGGCACAGAGGAACAGGACAATTTCATGACAACTCATGTAGTCATGTTGTCCCAGCTAATGTAGTCACAACTTTAATTTGAAATCTTTCCCCTGTGACAATCTGTGAAATAGTGTGTGATTAGAAGATCTTTTTTGTAGTACAAGATTTCACGGCATAATTTTTTTTCCTGGCTTTATACTTATTCTTAAGTATTAAATCACAAATTTAAGAATGAGTAGTTTAAAATAAAGGAACTTGCTTTGTCTTGATTGTGACTAATAAATCTGAGTTGCCACCAAATCTGAAATATGACACAGTTTATTTCCCTCAAAACTTGATTCTTAAAAGATTTGCTAGGAAAAAGATACTGTCCTTTAATCAAATGTATTTTATAGAAACTGCAAAATATTAGCAGCTCCATTTCCTTGTATTTGACCTGCAAAAGATTATAAACTCAAGAACTTGTATTTGACAATAAGTAATAATCAACTTTATGTCAGATACATAGCTGGATAAGCAAAAACACCCAAAGGGGTAAAAATTATCAAATCATTATCATTACCAAAATTATCTCACACTGTATAACCTTAGTGGATTATGCATTAGAATGATAGTGCTGAGAATGACAACAATCATAGCGTATGAAAGACAAAGAGGACATGAATCCAAAGAAATTATTCAGAGAACCTTCAGTGGATGGATGTGCAAAGGGATAAAGGGTTACTAAGTTTCACATCTACTATGCTCAAAGTGTAATTTTTTTCCTAATTTTCATTATATACAAAATTATGTGGCTTAAAGTCACTTCCATAGAATTGCTGAAAAGCTGATTTTAATTTATTAATTGAACTTCTAAACATGAGGTACTGCTGTCTGTATTGTTATGTTGGATTTAACTTGCTTTATTAAATATTTCTATGAAAAATGTGCAGCTTTATAGGGGTGTCATGACATACACTAGATTCTAATTATTTTTCTTTTTTTTTTCATTAAGGAATAAATGTACTGCATAGGAAATATGCTACAGAATTTTATGCATTAGTCTGCTAAAAAAAAGAAGCAACAAAATTTTCACAGCTGTCATTCAGCCAAATATTAATCTAATCCAAAAAGATTGAAGCTAAAGACAGAGGTACATATGAACCTACACACTTTTGGGTTACCTTATATCAGTCACAGTTTTTGGTTCAGGTAGGAATATCAATCACTGGCAGAAAGTATTTTTATCCATTAAATTAAGGGCATCAGTCTTATTTATTTCTAAGTTAAATTTCAGGAAACTTTTAAATATGTAACTTTGATTTTAGAAGTTTAGATACGCAACTTCGATTTTGGAAAGGGATATTTTATTTTTTTTTTTTAAAGTTTCTGTAAAGCCAAGTAGTTTGATTAGCATTGATTAAAATGCAGTAGGATATCCTTTTAAACAAGCTGTCAATTAGGTCAGCTTTCTCATACACATTAAAATGAAGCCCCAGCTAGAAAAGACAGATAACACAAAGGGAGAAAGAGAGAGAGAAAGGAAAAAGATGGGGATGAGAGGACAAACCAATCAGATTTGGTGTTACCAGCCAGCAGAAGTTTTAAAAAAATCAGATCACCGAGTGAAATCGTACATTTACTCGGAGAGAGCATCCTTTGACATTGCCTTCTAGGTGACCTCTGAGCTCCTCCAGCTTTCGATGGAGCTACACGTAAACATCAGAAAATGAATTGAAAAGGCAACCTGTTCTTATCATTGGGGAGTTTTTCCTTAATTTTTCTTTTGTTCTTTGCTTTTGTGTTTTATTTTGTTTTTAATAAATCATAGCTTAACACATTTCTCACTGCCTCTGCCAAAACATTTCAAGACATCAAAGTGCTTTGAACAACATGGACATACAAACTCAGTAAACTTGGAATCTGGAAGCAAGATATCTTTTCTTAACATGGCTTTTTCCCACTAGAGGGAAAAAAACCCTGAAAAGTCAAGGGAACTGTAATTCTAAAGCTACTGAATTTCTGCTACATTGTTTATAATGTATGTATTTATTTATTTGCTTGTTTATTGGTAAAGCTGTGTCTAGAATTTGTTTCCATAAAGAATAATTTTTAGAGGTAAATATGCATATTTGGGAACCTCAATTAGGACTTTCCATTTTCTATAAGGAAGGTTTTGTGTCTAAATATGTATTTTGGGTCATAGAATTAAATCCTAGGTGAAACTCACCACATAAATAAGCTACATCTTCTGTATATGTTCATGTATTACAAATCTAGAATTGTACGTGATGACCCAAGCTTCAAGACACACAGGTCACTGCAGTTACATACACAATTTTCAAAGACAGCATAGAAACTGTGCTGCTTTTTATTTTGCTCCATGTGATTTCAGTGGTCTGAATGTCTCCCACTGAAACAGTGTCTCATTCATGTACAGTGCTCTTCTCATCTACACCGTAATTAAAACCTCTTCCCAAATCACAAGATGAAAAGATAAAGCCTCACAGACAGTGAGGAATGCTACAGATGCCTCTAAATAGAACTTGTATAAACAAGTAGCAACTGGCTTCTTTTTCTATGCTGAAATCAATTTAAGTGGTGGCATTACTGGAAAGAGGTACATAACTAATCTTTTCCCTCCCCTTCTTTGTGCTCATTTTCACAAAGAGCAGCTGTAGAACAGTGTTAGAGAACAGAGAGGATGGCTTGTCCTGGAACAAAGGCAATACACTCATATACAAAACCAAAACGAAAACAGAGGTAAAAAAACAAGAAGGCAGAAAAGGCAAGGAGAATGCACAAGAAAAAACAAATAAGTAGTGCTTGAGAAAGTGCTAAAAGGAAATAAAGTGGGGAAAACTGAAAAATTGGATAGCTGAAATAGAGGCAACTCTTGAGATGGAACCTAAACAAAATGGCTTGGACTGCATATGATCAGCATCTTGGTTCTAAATCATTTATCAGGGTGTAACACTACGCATGGTGGGTACTGGTTTAGATATCTGCCTGTTCTGTTAAGCGATATAAATATTTGGGCATGTTTATACAAACACCAAAAAGCAGAAGACACTAATTATCAGCAAAGTAGAGGCTCCATTCTTAGACTCATGTGAATCTCTCATTTCATCGTTATTTACTCTGGTATTTTTTCTAATTTAAAGGCTATGTATATATGAAATATTCAACTATCTTGTAATGGTGTTTTGCAGAATTAAATACAAAAAATGTCACCACTATAAAAGTTTAATTATGTTTGAAGACGGGAAGCATTAGTTTGAAGATGAGTAAGCCACTTCTCTATGTAACAGGCAACAAACAACACAGATCAGAGAAGTGGTTTAATCATGATCACCAAATTACAGGCACTTCAAGAAAGTTGTTACTATCTCTTATTTCTAGTGACATCCAAAGCTACCTAACTGGCAGCCTGCTTTCAGTGGGTTGTTCTATGTGTAGCACAGAAACAAACAAAATGTGACCCAACAGCAATAAGAATACTGAAATAAAAATGATGGGATGGTGAGAAATGGAAAAGCCCCTTCCCTCCCTCCCCTCACCTCCCCCTTCAAAAGGAAAAGTGTAGGCTATAGAAGAAAACTTGCAAAATAAATGTTAGAAACATATTTACTTTGAGGGATCCAACTCTACTAGCAACTCCTTTGCTTTCATCCGGCCGTCTAATTTGCTACAATGGGGGAAGATGGGTAAAAAAGACAGAAGAATAAAGAAAAAGTGAACTTAAAAAAATTTCCACACAATCAGTTAGCAGTACATGCAAGACATCAATTTGACTCTCTGAGACACCTCTAGAGGACAAAGACACAGACTCTTAATTTCTGAAATAAATGATGCTTTATCATGGCATTTTAAACTTGCTTTGTTGATCACTTTTATCTCAATATATTACCAATCCGGCACACATGTTGCATGCTGAATTCTCTAACATTTTTGAAAGAATACATGTTACTTATCTGGTTTGAATATTAAAAGTAACAAAGTTCTTAAACTCTCACTGAAGAAAAAAACAGCCTACACCTTCTACAAATCATACAATCAGAGCTATAACTGGGAGCCTGCAAGTATCATGACTGATACTTGACAGAATGCAATACAGATTCCTGTTGACCCAGGTCTAGAGATTTTAGCCACTGCTACCAAGATTCCTAGTTAAAAATTATGCTGCCCAACCAGAAAATTTTAATGCCAGACCAACATTATATTTTTATTTTAAATATTTAAATACACCACATATATAATCCCCAGCATCTCCTACCTGATTACTTTTCCTTTATTATATACATTTTTTCCTATATGATGCAAAGTATGGAAGAAATAAATTACATAGCTTCTCAAAAGGTTTCATATTGTTAGAAGCATGTAAAATAAAACACTCATTTGCAGTGAAAGTTCTTTTCAGAATTGCTAAATCTGGTAAACAAATGTCTTTTACTGATAAATTTGTGTTATTCGAAATAGAGAAGAAGACTATAAAAACTATTTTAGCAATATGCTTCCAGTCTGAGTCAAGACTGAATTGAAAGTTTTTATTATCTGATGGTTGTTTCATAGCTTAAGTAAAACAAAATCCCACATGACTGAGGTGAACCCTTTCAAACCACACTAATTGTTTTTTCTTTAAGAAATCTCATCAAGGAAGCCAAAGACTGAACGAACCATGGAAATTCAATGATGCTTTATGTTCTCTGGAGGACACTAGCAGAGGCACAAGTTAAATCGTCCTGTTTCTTTTTACCTGACCCACATAAAATGGAGAAATTCTTACTCAAAACCCAGTCAACTGAATTTTTTTTTTTCAACTTGCATTTGATTCTCAAGAAAACAATATAACACAACAATATATTAACAATAAAAGTATCTAGTTCTGATAGAGTGTCCATTTGCAAAATACACTGGAAATATTTATGTTAATTGTTGCTTTCCTTCCCTGGTCTTATGGCATTAAAATAGCATCTGATTTGAACTCTCAAGTGAAACACCCACGTTACTGTTATCGTGGCACTCCAAGTAAATCTCCAATCAATTCTAGTATACTAAGAAGAAACTGTCATTCTTGAATAAAATATGTCTCCTTTAGAAGACAAATTCAATTAAAATATATGCAGTTATAACCTAGTTGCTATATATTTCCTAACTGAGGAAAACCAAAAGGAAATCTCAATTGGGAAAAAAAGATCCTTATCTGAAAAGAAAACATCAGGACCTAGAGCAAAGATAGTTTCCCCAATATCCTGGTTGAGATACTACCAGTTCCAGATAATAAGACATAATCTAGTAGAACCCCAATTCATCTTTCCAATTTGAAACTTTTTTCAAAAATAATATATTCAGTTTTGTTTTGAAAAATGAGAAATAGAAAAAAATAAATGCTTATAATCTCACATAATAACATGGACCTAGGTCATTAAGAAAAATGTTACATAACACAGAAAACTTAGGAAAAGTTGTAAGTGGCAACAATATGCACTGCACTTCATGGAAAAAGTTTTTCTTGAATTACTCACCAATATAGGTATTGTGGCTGCTCAAGTTATGCTGAAGGTTTAGGATTCAGTCAGAAATGAGACTGGAGACATTACAGGTGCATGTAACTGATACTAAGTCTGTCTTTCTTCAAAATGTATATAGAAATACATACACAATGTGTACGCTACAAGCAACGAAGTTATAAATGCTTGGACATATAAATTACAAGGAGATAGGCTAAGGTCAACTCTCGCTTTACATCCATGGCATAGTTAATATATATGACAATGTGCTTTCTACAGGAGTCTTGCAGAGTACAACCTGAATACTTCTCAAGGGATGAATCAGCGTTATATGATTATTGGACAAGCTATACTACATATGTCCTGGGAATTAAATAGGGTACTACCAGGAAGGCAAGGGATAGTAGGAATAAAAAAAACCACACTTTTTTTTCACAGTAAGTACCACAGAAAGGAATTCAGGTATATCTTTATCTTTGTCTGGTAAACTCCTGTATGATGATCTAGAAATGACAGATAAAGTACTAATTCAGAAAATGGCACGGGTTATACACTCTTTGTTTTTTAGAAACTCAGACACAAGATGAACACTCGTAGCTACAAAAGATTACGATGAAAGATGTGTGTAAGTGTTCTAAATCAAAAATATCTATACCATAACACAAGCTAAATAAGTAGATGAAGAGATGAGGCAGGAGCAACATCAAGTAGTTATTGGCAAAATGTTACCTGGAAGACATGAAGGTTTTGGAACACTCTGAAGGTGGCCAATTAAGATACTCAGTGTAATGAAGAAAGAAAGGTGCTGTGTAGGTAACATTCCAGGAAACTAACAAGGTATAACACACAGACAGTTAAGATAAATGCATTATATTTCTATCCCTTTCTTATCACAAGGCGAAGTCAATAGTAGGAGTTAATAGCTAAAGATTAGCCACAGGTGTCCCTATCCTGATACCTGAAGAACAAGGTGGAGTTGCAGTTGGAGTAGAATGAGATTGGAAGCCAGTGGAAGAAAACTTAGGAAGCAGGGAAATCAGAACCAGAGTTATCAAAGAGGAATGCTCAAATATACCTAATGACCTTGTTAAAAGATGAGTGAACAGAAGATGTTTTCTAAGCAGAAGTCTTGCATATGGTTTATTATTCCTCTACCTTCCAACTACTAGAGCACATGAGAAATGTACCTGTTTATCTTCATCCTTGATTTTACTTCAGAAAAAAGAATTTAAAATACCTAACCTTAAATACGTATCTAGACTAGCAATTATACTTGTCATGAAGAAAAAACAGGTCTGAATAATTTGCTAATCTGAGACTCTGCCTTTTGTTGGATTATTTAAAGGAAGAGTTCCACAACAGGAGAAACAGCCTCAAACATTTAGCACTATCCATCTTAGACTCCTTCCCCTTTCTGATAATATACTCTGTTTGGGCTACTCTGAAGGTTCCCTGCTTACACTCTGACAAAGAAATTGGAATGTTGCCGGACCTAAAGCTTTCAGAAATGTGTTCTCCCATCCACATTCACCAAAAAGCCAAACTTCTGTCAGACCTTTTTTTCAAAATCCTGGCCAATACATGCATGGTTCATAATGATCAAGTTACTTAATTCTGAAATTGAATAAATGTAACACTCACAGTGGAAACTCTTTACAGCAGTAGTTTAAAAAGATGTCAAGTTTCTCATTCAATAGTTTGGGCATGCAATATTGGAATCATGATAATCAAAAGTAAGAGATTACACTACACAGCATCCAAAACAAGTTCAGATTATTTGCTGTACACGTAAGAAAAACATAACTTCTCCCACTTGATTACTACACAGAGATCAATGATGAACAGTGAACAAAGACAAAATGTAGTAGAAAAACAATGGGATGAGTCTCCAGTCCAAGTTAAAGAGATGGTTTGTGAAAGGTATGTGGATGTATAAAAGCAAAAAGAGCTTAATATATTTTTAATGTTGCAGCAAATTCAATTTGACTGAAAACTACGTTATGCATAACTTTTACATTCATGTATGAAAAATAGACTTGCACTTGAAAGTATTTTTACTTCTGCACTTTTAGGTCAGACAAACACCAATTAGATGGGGCTTCCTAAATAAGCGGGGAGTATTTTCAAACAAAGGGAATACAGGCTCCTATAAAAGAGACATATATTTTCAATCAATAAACATATTCCTGCCTATGCATTATACTGCAGTATGGCATAAAAGTTTTATTATGGTTGCTGCACTTCATAGATAATGGTAAATCTACAAAAGTATAATGTACGTGAACGCTAATGAATGCCAATAAAACATCATTACCATATCATCACAAATTTTGCTCACACTACCGACATTTTCTTTTTAAAACAGGCACTACTCCTCACACTGTTCCACGTGCAGATAAGGGAATAACCATAGTGCAGGTAGAACAGTCAGTAGTAGAAAGTAATGTAATCTTCTTGCCGTATTGAAGCTAGTATCATCACTAGATCAAATGCTTTGTTAACACACATAGTGGCAAAGATAGTGTAACCATGTCCTAACACAAAAGACTTGGTAATACACTGGTTATTTTACACCAACATGTGGCAGCCTAGTTCTTCAAAAATATCTATTCACTTAAGTGAAATTTAATGGTCAGAAATCAAATCTAAAAGTTGGTAGGCAAAATGCACAGCCAGGGAAAGACAGACTACAATAAATATAAACATTATATAGTATGTCTCTATTTGTAGTGACTTAGTGTCCTAAGTCTCATTTAGACTGGAGATCTGGGCATATGAGAGCTGGGTCCTCACTTTAATTATGCAGTTAACAGTTGTACAACGCTCCTGTCACTCAGATGAAGGTCTGCAAACCCTTCTACCAGTTCAAGGCTCCCTTTCTCCCAGTTCTTCCTGACCACAGCCCTTTCTTTTCTCATAATGCTATTGCTGCCTCCTGCATCCAAGCTACTTCCTACTCCTTCTTCAAATCGCTCTAAGCCCTGCAGCCTCATCACTCAAGAGCCACAAACACTGCTTTGCTTCATTTTAAACCTTTACCATATAACCTTTACATCCAATTTCTCCTCAATTCAATACTTTAAATTCTCCCATTTCAGAACTACTTGAACATCTTTTCACTGTCTGCTGGCACATTTTGTTCCCCGCCTATGCCTGCAGCCTCACTGATTCTCTGGAT